GTCACCGAGCGACGAGGAGCGGCTGGTTCTTGAAATTTCTTGGACGCTTCGCGTCGCCCCACCAGCCTTATGAATTACGCTTCCCCCCTGGCGATCCGGACTTTCTCCGTTGAGCGCCTGCACGCCCTGTCATTGTTCTCCTCGACTACGCCGCGGTGGGCTTCGAGTGCGCCGGCCCCCCGCTCGTCGCCATTTTGGCGTTGCACGTGGTCCTGGTGCCCTTCCTGGTCCTCCTTGTCTTCTGAGCCGCAGCGTAGTTCGCTTCTGCGCGCTTGGGGCTAAATTTAGATCGTGACCCTGCTGCTTCGCTCTGACGGCGCCTGGCACACCTGCGCGCTCGCGAACACAAAATCCCCACCAGCCCATCCAGAAACGATGTCCAGGCGAGTTACGGTTATCAGGGAAGTGCGGGAGCAAAGAGGGGGACGGCCGAACCGTGCGAAGGAGGGAGGAGGAGGAGGAGAAGGTTGGAGGCTGGATGGATGGATGCGGGAGTGGGGAGAAGGAGGATGAGTAGGAGGAGAAGGAGGAGGAGGAGGAGAAGGAGGAGGAGGAGGAGGAGGAGCAGGAGGAGGAGGAGGAGGAGGAAAATGATAATCTTTACGCTTCGCGTATCCCCGCCAGCCCATCTCACAGCAGCAACTCTCGCGAAGCATGCCGACAGTCGTGTTTTTCAGGCGTGTGTCCGCTTGGCCCCGCATATCTCCCCTGTTCCTCCTTCCTCCCGCCTCCTTGTACATCCTCTTTGTGGGGGGAGCGGGAGAAGGACGAGGCGGAGGAGGAGGGAGAGAAAGCGCTCCTCGTGGTTTGAGTCGTTTGGGGTTTCTCGTCCTGGTGTGAGTCGTTCGGGCCCTTCTTCCTGATGTGAGTCGTTCGGGCTCTTCGTGGTGTGAGTCGTTCGGGCTCTTCGTCCTGGTGTGAGTCGTTCGGGCTTCTCGTGGTGTGAGTTGTTCGGGCCCCTCATCCTGGTGTGAGTCGGTCGGGCCCCTCCTCCTGGTGTAACTCGTTCGGGCTTCCTCGTGGTGTGAGTCGTTGGGGGCCCGCGAGTCGTTCGGGCTCCTCGTGGTGTGTGTAGTTCGGGCGCCTCGTACTGGTGTGAGTCGTTCGAGGTCCATCCTTGTTGGTGTGAGTCTTCGGCTCTGTGCGTTGGTGTGTGAAGTCGTTCGGGCCCCCGGGCTGGTCGTAGTGTGAGTCGTTCTGGGCTCTCGTCCTGGCTTGGGCGGCCTCTTGGGGGCCTCTTGGGGGCCTCTTGGGGGCCTATTGGGGGCCTCTTGGGGGCCTCTTGGGGGCCTCTTGGGGCGTCTTGGGGCCTCTTGGGGGCCTCTTGGGGGCCTCTTGGGGGCCTCTTGGGGCCTCTTGGGGCCTCTTGGGGGCCTCTTGGGGGCCTCTTGGGGGCCTCTTGGGGCCTCTTGGGGACCTCTGGGGGGCCTCTTGGAGGCCTCTTGGGAGCCTCCTGGGGGCCTCTTGGGGCCATCTGGGGGCTTCTTGCGACCTCCTCAGAAGCGCAATGAAGCGTTGACCCCGTGAGAAGGACAAAATGAGGCCAAAACCTTCGTAACATCAATGATTTTGGTATGAAGGAAGAGGAGCGCGGCCCCCTCAGAAGGCCAAAATGGGGCCAAAACCGTAGTAAAATCAATGTTTTTTGCTTCAAAGACGGTCTGCCCTTCCACCCTAGGGCCAGAATCTCCTCTTTTTATTTTTTTTTTTTTTTTTCTTTGTTTTTTTTTTTTTTTTTTTTTTTCGGAGGTCGTCGTTTTTTGGCCCTCCGAGGAGTCGAAATGGACCCCCCTGACACCACCCCGGACTCCCTGTCCAGGTCCAGGGGGAGGGGGTAGGGGGAGGGGTAAACCCCTCCCCGAAGGGGAAGAAGGGGGGTTGAGGACAGAGCGGGCTCTCTGAACCACTCACGCCCAAAGGGCTGGTGGGATTCCTCACCTAGGCTCTGCCTAGAAGGGTTATTACTCTATGTGTTTAAAGGGGCCGGGCAGTGTAAACCGCCCTGGGCGGTTCCCCCGGCATCCGCCCCGCGGTTCCGCCAGCTACGTCTCCTTAGCGTCGCCTATCTCATCTTAGTTTAACTTCTCTCATCTTAGGTTAGCTTAGCTCAGCTTCATCTTAGGTCCGGTCTATCTTAGCTGAGCTCACCTTCATCTTAGCTTCGCTGAGCTTTAGCATCGCAGAGCACAGCACAGCATCGCATAGCGTCGCATAGCATAGCGCAGCACAGCATAACACAGCATAGCCCAGCATATCAGAGCATAGCGCATCTTAGCATAGCATAGCATAGCATAGCGCAGCACAGCACAGCACAGCATAGCGCAATGCAGCCTAGCATCGCATATCACAGCATAGCATAGCATACCATAACACAGCAACGTATAACGCAGCATAGCATCGCATAGCATGTCGCAGCATATCATCGCATACCATCGCTTAACATAGCATAGTATAACATTGCATAGCATAACATAGCGCAGCATGGCGCAGCATAGCATGG